CTGGGTGTGTGTGACGGGGGTGCAGGAGTCAGGGCAGGGGCTGGATGTGTGAGGGGGGTGCAGGAGTCAGGGCAGGGGTGCAGGGTCTTGGAGGGAGTTAGGGTGCAGCGCTCCTCTCCCTGCCTCCCAGAGCTCTGGCAAAAGCTGTTTGGCGGCGGGGGAAGTGCTGGGAGGGAGGGGAAGGGGTGGGAACATGGTGTGCTCAGGAGAAGACGCGGTGCAGGCGGAGCCCCAAGAGCTAGCAGGACCAAGCGTCTGCCCCCGCAGGAGAGAGCAATGGGCGGGGCGGGGCAGAGAAGAGTGTTCAGGGCCTTGTAGCCCAAGCAGAGCGGGCTGAGCCAGGGCCCCTTTGGAGCCTGCGCCCGGCACTATGGTGCCAGTGGCGCCATGGTAAACCCGAGTACTGGCTGGAGTACACCAGAATGAGAGGGTCAGCCCAAGGTCTGACCTATTTGTAAGAATACTAATCACATACTTAAGAATACTCTGTTACTGTATTGGGTGTAGTCACTGCTCATTTTTAGGTTCTTAGATATATTTAGAGCTACTGCATAAAGTATCATTTGGCCTTTGGATTTAATAAAGGAATTTATGGTTAAATTGGTGTTTGGTGATTTCCCATAAGAACGGCCAGACTGGGTCAGACCAATGGTCCATCTAGCCCAGTATCCTGTCTTCCGACAATGGCCAATGCCAATTGCTTCAGAGGGAATGAACAGAACAAGCAATCATCCAGTGATACATCCCCTGTCAATCATGCCCAGCTTTCGGCAATCAGAGACTAGGAACACTCAGCACATCGGATTGCATCCCTGACCATCGCAGCTAGTAACCATTGATGATCCAATCCTCCGTGAACTTATGTAGTTCTTTTTTGAACCCAATTATAGTTTTGGCCTTCACAACATCCCCTGGCAATGAGTTCCACAAGTTGACTGTGTGTTGTGTGAAGTAGTACTTCCTTTTCTTTGTTTTAAACCTGCTGCCTTTTAAAAATTCCAGCACATTGCTCATAGATAAATGCCTTCTTAAAACACACATTTCAAATGTAGCTCAACTGTGACAATCAAACACTCATTAAATCTACCCATCGTTCAACTTGCAAAGATCTGTCCAATATTAGAATATCTCTGGCTTTGCTATCACAGTTGATCCTGACAGTTTTAGCTTGTCATTTTTCATTTGCAAAATTAAAAGGCGGTAAACAGAACAGACAAGAGAGAAACGATGCATTTATCAAAGGTACAGTCAGTCGAGTTAATAAATGTAATTACAGTGCCGAGCAGAAAACCGCTGCTAATGAATATGGTTGAGGCAGTCCCCGGGTGCTGTTTCACTTACTCTAATCTGCTTTATTTACTTTCATTTACTTCCATTCAAGAGTTTTTTTTAACTGTCTGTATTTTCCTATTCGCGGGGAAAATGCACAGATACGTAAAAAATTCAAGCTCTGCATTAAAACAAACTCTTCTTACCTTCCAGCTGAGTCCAGCAAGGCAGCTGTTGCTATGCAGTATCTGACTATCTATTAAAGAATGTGTGCTGAGCTAGTGATAGTAGAACAAGTGCCCCACCAGTTTATATAGCCAGAACAGCTCCTATCATAACGCAACAAATTTGAGCACTCCTCCTACCATTTCAGGTTACACTGTGGACTGGAAAGAAATGCTAGACAGTAGCCACCTGCTCCACCTTTTGTCTTGGTTTCTTGCCAAATATCTTAAGAAACCCCATCTTTCGTACGCTTTTCCACTCCACATTAAAATTCAATTAGTTAATTGGGCTACTTTGCCTTTTAGGTCACTAAAGAAGAATCCGGAGGAGTCTGAACTGGCTGTTTCTGTGGTAACACTTTGTCCAAGAAATAAATGATTGTGCATGTTAATGCATCAAAACACACATCAGCGTAGATGGCTTCTTAGCAGAGAGGGGCGTCAACTGCCCAAATTGGAACCATCCAACACCCCCAAGCCTGGGGAAGGAATTGGAGCCAGGATTTCACTTTGGTCAAGTCCAATGATAAGAACCAGTTACGATATATGGATTTGGCTTTTGAAACCTTCCCACCCTAACCCCAAATTCTAAGGCCATATGAAACTGCGCTGGGCTCATATCTGCTTCTCAGCAGCATTCCAGGAGCCCAATCCTGTAACATGCGGCGCTTCTGCTCTAAGTGCTTAGCACACTTACGACCTTTATTTTGTGAACTGGGTTTTTCCTAGTCACTTGAGAAATTCAAGTTATTTTTTCCACTGGGACCCCCTGGCCTGTGGGAGGAATCTAGCATAGTGGAACATTGGCATTTTTGAGACGTTTATAAGGCAAACATACATAGTTGTGAAAGGTAGAAAGAGGGTACCAGAGGGGAATCTAAAAAGGGTGAATAGTGCAAGAAAGGACAGTGAAAACCCCATGAACTTAGATCTAGAGCTTGCCAAAATGCAGGATTTGCAGTTCAAAGGAAATTTTGCTTTGGTTCAGTGCCAAAGGGAATAAATCTATTATTGTAATTTTTTTTTAACATTTCCTGCAAACTGGAAATCTCGAAAACAAATTCATTTAAGAAACACTGACACATGGTGCTTCTGACACAAAAGCTACTCCCCACAGCTGCTGAGAGAAACGTACATTCTTGTGAATTTCATGGTTGTTGTTATCGGGGGGGCAGTCTGCATGGTGGATTTGCCCTAGGAGAGCTGATCCTGGGAGCCCACCCCAGGGCGTCCGGTTCCTAACGCTATGGCAGGGAGCGTGAAAGCACTGGAAGTCCCCTCAGAGCTGTATTCCCTGGAAAACGGAGGTCCTGAGCACCCCAATGAGCTGACAGGTTTTCCATGGAACCCCGACTTTGATTTACTGAAGGTTTCATGTTAGATGAATCAGCATTCTCTGACATGCTTTGTTTCAGATGTAAAATTCCAACCAGCTCTGCTTAGATATCTTTCACATGAATTAAAGCCCCAGTTTCATAGATTTTAAGGCCACAAAAGACCATTGTGATTATCTAGTCAGAAGAACACAGACCATAGTATCTCACCCAGGGATCCCTGCATCGAGCTCACCAGCTTGTAGTTGAAGTATAGACCACATCTGGTTTTCTTGCTTTGTGTCCTAATCTGTAGAAATACAAGCTCTTGCACTGCAGTAACTGAAAGGAGGGCATTCTATTTATATATATTATAGATGCCCATCCCTGGGATGCCTACGAATCACATGCACCGTATTCTGACGAAGACATTTTTAACGGTAGAATGCTCTTACTTTTTCTTAGCTGGGTCTATGCTCGCAGTTGTCAGCTTCAATTCATCAGTGTGAGCTGCTCTCTGCTTAATCCCCCAGGCACCATCCTTGGGACAATGCCAGACTGTGCGATCAACTGAAGCTGTGTCTCACAGCACATGTGTTACATAAGATAGTGTGATGTTTTTCTAGGAAGTGCCCAGTAATAATTTTGTTTGCCTTTTCTCATAGTTTGTTACTCCTTTTGAGCCCTTTCTTTTTCTTTCCTGTTCAACAAACACCAGGCGCTCACAGGAAGAAAAAGGATTTGGGCGGATGGTCCTCATATAAAGAATTTGACCCCGAAAACTCTGTTCCAGGACCTGACCTCTAAGCCACCTTTGTACTTCCCACATTTTGGGGGTGTTCAGATGCAAACCTGGCTAATGGTGTAATATAAAGCAGGCTGTCTATATTATATTTTCACTGCCCCAGGCCTCCTAGGTACTATGTGGTAGAGTACAAAGGTGCTGCAACCCCCTCCCTCATTCCTTTGGACTGCCCCTGCAGAAGGACCCCAGACCCCCTATGCTACTAGACGGCTAATTAGCATTAAGGAGAATCAAAGAGGAAATGCACTTCTCAGCAAAATGTTCACAAGCGTCCTTGTCAAGTTCATCTGAACAAAAATCTCTAGGGCTAATTCGGGCATACCATGTTCAGGTCTTGC